CCATCGCGGCTGGCCCGGCCTGCCTCCCTCTGGGGAGCGGGCGGGGCGGGGCGAGGCGGGGGCGGGGCGGCCCCTTAAAGGGGCTGCGGCGGGCTCCGCGGGACGGCGGCGGCTGCGGGGAGGAGTGGTCGCCTCCTCTGCGCCCGTGCAGAGCGCCGGGGTCGCCTTCCCCGAGGCAGGAACCGGCGCTGGGGGTCGAGCGGCAGCCGGCAGTCTCCGATGCCCGCTCCGCCCCCGCCGCTCTCTATGCCCGAAGCCCGGGCTTTCTGCGGGGCGGTCGCGCTGGGCTGGGTGTGGGCGGGCTGCCTTGCGACCTCTCCTCCCAAGGCCTCGAACCGGGCCCGGGCGACGCCAAAGGGAAGGCCCGGGGACGAGGGGAGGCAGCTGTGCCCGCGGGAGCCCTGCCCCGCCCCGCCCCGCCCCGCCGGACGGCCTCCCACGGGCAGCGGGGCCAGGCGAGGCTCCCGGCGCGGGCTTCTTCTCCGGGACCCCCGTTCTGCAGGCTCGCTTCGGTCCCGGGGGAAGAGGGCGGTCCCCGATGAGCCTGGAGCTAAGCAGCCCTGAAAGGCAGCCAGGGCGCCTCCGGATTCTCTTAGTTCTGGAAACCGAAGCCGGAGAATGGAAGCTTCTGAAAAGCCAAGAGGCCATTCAGCGCCAGCAGAAGTAGGGTTACCGGGCCCCCCAAGAGCGCCCTGGGGCATCGCCCACCCCAAAGTCTCCCTTGGTGGGCAGGGAGGAGATGCGGGGCTTCCTGTGGCTCCCCAAGGCTGAATCTGGGCTGCTTTGAGGGACCAAAGCAAGCTCATCCATCCCCAAATCATTGCAGGAATTTGGAGCATCATTTTCCATTCCAGGAGAGACTGAACCCGGAGGCCCATGGAAAAGAAAATAGGAAGACTGGCAAGTGTTGGTACTGTGGGTCTTATGGAGGGCGAAGAAGCAGCACATCAGTGCTTGTCTCTTGAAAACTGGGCAGCAGCTCAACCTGAGGAGCACCAAGAAAGCAGGAGAAGCAGAAAACCCTTGGAACCTTTCTGCTTTTCAGATGCCTTTCTGCCTCCATCCACTAAATTGGTCTGTCCCTTCATATTTTACTTTATTTATTTATTACATTTGCTTGCCGCCCATCTTGCCATGAGATTCTTCCTGGGAATCTGGGCCCAGACCGCTTTCCAGGGCTTGTCGTCTTCTGCCATAGAACCTCCCTGTGTGAAAATTGATGTATCTTTTAATGCTGGTGGTCTGTAACAGAATAAGAGAGTCAGAAGGGATCTTGGAGGCCTTCTAGTCCAACCCCTGCTCAAACTGGAGACCCTATCATTTCAGACAAATGGCTATCTAGCCTTAAAACCTTCCAGTGTTGGAGCATTCACAACTTCTGGAGGCAAATTGTTCCACGGTTAGGAAAATTCTTTTTAGTTCTAGGTTGCTTCTCTCCTTGATGAGTTTCCACCCATTGCTTCTTGTCCTGCCCTCTGGTGCTTTGGAGAATAGCTTGACTCTCTCTTCTTTGTGGCAGCTCCTCAGATACCTGAACACTTGCTATCAAGTCACCCCAGTCCCCCTTTTCACTAGACTAGACATAGCCAGTTCCAGCAACCGTTCTTCATATGTTTCAGCCTCCAATATCCTAATCATCTTGGTTGCTCTTCTCTGCACTCTATCTAGAGTCTCAACATCTTTTTTTATAGTGTGGAGACCAAGATATTCCAATATCCGAAGTGTGTTCTTACCGAGCCATTATAAAGTGGTATTAACACTTCCCATGATCTTGAGTCTATCCCTAAAATTTCACTTTCTCGCAAATCCCTGCCTTAAGAGAATCCCAGGCAGATATTTCATTTAATTGCTCCTTCTCTGGAGTCAATAAGTCATCTATTTTATCTTGTACAGCTGCTCTGTGGGCTTCTCTCTGTGTTCTCTTCTGAGGTGGGCAATATGATGCCGAGAAAAGGAGTCAGAAATAATCAGCAATTCTATTTTTCCAGACTGAGACGTCTGCCAGGGGGAGGAAGAGCAGCATGGAGACTTAATGCCAGGATGGCAGAAAGTCTTGAGAACGGCACAATCATTACAAAGAAATTGCCTCCAGTTATCTGAGTAGAATAGTTCATTGGCCAAGTGTGATTGGACACACAAGGAATTTAAAAGGGTGGGGGGAGAGAAACGCACTGACTTCATGAGCCAGAGGTATCCATGACACCTCTCCTTCCCACCCATGGCGTTTTGCAAAACGAAAAATGAACTTTGCTTGGTGTTGCTGTACAGTATTTTGCAAATCAGACTCACAACCAAGTGGGGAATAGGGTATGGTTCCTGGTTAATGAAACTTTTAACAACAAATTAAAACATGCTGGCTCACCACCAAAAAGTGACTGGCTCTGCCCTGTAGGACCAGCTGGTTGAAAGAGAGTCGGGGAGACAGTGTTGAAGGAAATATGCAAGAACCAATACTGAGCAAAGGGGGTATGTCTGATACTGTTTCTAAGCCCTGAAAAACAAGATGATATTTGCAAGTGGAACAGGCAGAGGCTGAGGAGGGATAGCACAATCCGTCCTGTACGATTTGGTCATTAGAGCCACTCTCAATGGAGGCTGTGCTGGTCTTCCTGGGGTGTTGATTTCCTGGTATGGCTATTGGGTACAATTGGCAGCCTCTGACACGCAGTAGGGAAGCTGCCTGCATTTAGAATATGGTAGGAGTGTCAAAACCTGTGTTGTCACGTGATGTATCACTTCTTTCCCTTTTGCTAAACCAGGCGTGGGCATGGCTAGTGTTTGACGCATCTGGCCTGTGGGCCAGGAGTTGGACAGGCCTGTGGTGGACTCTCCACTGTGTGTACTCTATTGTATGTACTGTACATGCATGTCTGAGTATACTGCCATGTATCCGTGGTCCAAAAAAAAGATTCTGGAGAAATGTCAGATGGTCACATTTGGTGCAGCCTCGAAGCTTAGTGACAGCGCTGCAATTTGGGGAGAAAAATAGAAGAAAACGATTCTCTGTGCTGTGACTTTGTACCAGTGTAAAATTTGTTACTATCAGATCTGTGGGTGTGGCTTGCAGGGGGTAATGCGACTGAGTGGGTGTGGCCAACTTTTTTTTTTTTAAACTTTTAAAACCATTTTGTCTACAACTTCTTCGGACGATCATCAGAGCCTTTTTTTTACTTTCAAAAGCATTTTTTCAGCCGAAGAGGTTGTAGAAAAAATGCTTTTAAAAATAAAAAAGCCTCTGATGATCACGTTGCTCAGCTGGGCAATGAGGGGGTGGGGGCAGGGATTTTTGCTACCGGTTCTCCAAACCATCCACCTCCATCGCTACTGGATCGGGCAATTTGGTCTGAACCAGGAGCATTTCACCCCTGCTTTGTACCCCAAATCCTTTTGCAAAGCTGTGCCTCTCTCACTGCTGGGCGCTCAGGCTGTTTACAGGCAGGAATGGCCTGGCTCCTTTCTGCTTAAAAAGCACCAGGGCTTTCCACCCAGTGCAAGCTTGCCCTGCGATGCTGGGGGTGATATGGGAAAGAGGCTTTTATGTCAGTGGTGCCTGTCCAGGGGCGCCCCAGAACAGCTCTGGAGGCAGCAGCAGCGTTTTCTCTCTGTCTGCTGAAGGAATGACAGAAATGCTGCAGAAAAGCATCTCCAGACAATGCAGATGTGTGGTTGGAAGAGATCCCCCCCCCCCCGACATGCACCACACAGGCTAGCATCTCCTTCCCAAAGCAACTCTCTGCTGGCCACTTCAGAGGCTACCAATGGGGGCTGCCTTTCAGCGCAGTGCCAGGGGCTGCTTCTAGCCAGAAGCTTCCCCAGTGACGGGCTGGACCTTGCAGGAGATTGCCAGCCTCCTGGGTGCTGGGAGCACGGTGTGTGTGTGTGTGTGTGTCTTACCCTTTAGAGGGATTTCTTTCCCCAGTTACAATGGCAAAAAGCCTCCAAAATGATTGGCGCTGTTGACATGTTATTTGACAGGGTTCAGAGACAGCACGCTTGTTACTTGCGTGCATTTAGAAAGGCTAAAGAAAGGCCTGCTTGTACCCTTTGTTTCTTGAGCGTCATCAATACAGGTCCTCGACTTACAACCCTTCATTTAGTGAGTTTGAAGTTGCAATAGCACTGATTTTTCACACTTATGACCGTCCCAGCATCCCCACAGTCATGTATACAAAATTCCAACACTTGGCCACTGGTTCATATTTATGACGGTCAGGGTCACGTGATCCCCTTTTGTAACCTCCTGACAAGCAAAAGTCAATGGGGAAGCCAGATTCACTTAATAACTGTGTTACCCACTTAGCAACTGCGGTGGTTCACTTGGCAAGTGGCAAAAGTGACTTAACTGTCTCAACTGGGGTCGTAAGTCAAGGACTACCTATACTACTAAAAGCTAATGTATGGTGAAACAATTATAACCCAGAGAAAAATCTCTGCAAACAAAGCCATTTCCCACAATGCATCATTTGGCAGCAGGAAACATTCACTTGTCTGGGATGGGTAAATTTTCCCTTCAACCAGGGAGGGCGTTATCATGCCTGGCATAGTATGTAGCAAGGTTACTTAGTGTGCTGTAGATAACATCCACTGGCGAGCGGGCGAGTTGTGGAAATTTCCTTCTCCTTCAGAGTTCCCGTGATGCTAGACCTGCGTCTCCACCACTAGCTGAGATGTCTCCCTGAAGCGAGCGTGAGAAGTGGCTTCTTGAACCCAGCTCTCTGGTGGCACAGTCGTTAGAATGCAGCACTGCAGGCTACTTCTGCTGACTGCCGGCTGACAGCAGTCTGGCAATTGGAGTCTCTCTGGCTCAAGGTTGACTCAGCCTTGCATCCTTCAAGGTTGTAAAATGAGGACCCAGATTTGGGGCTAATAGCCCTTAGAGAAGGCTGGAAAGGACTGTGAAGCGCTATATTAGTCTTAAGTGCTATTGCTGGTGGGGTTCACCAATTGCTGCTAAGGGGTTCTGTTATGTTATGCTAAGGGGTTGAGTTATGGGCGCAGTGTAGAATCCTCCGGCAGAGCTTTTAATTCTACAATGGACATGAAGACAAAGGTCTGTTTTTACAGGGGTTGCTCTGGCAGTCATTCTAAGCAAAGCTAACAAGTAATTCAAGCAATTAATTCAGCGCAAGATGCTCTGGGGCCCAGAGTCCACTAGACGGGCCCTAAATCGGAGACAGTCGGGTTACCAGCTTTTCTCACTCCAGATATCCCCCCTTAAGTACAAATTCCTCCTGCCGGTTTTAACAGCTGTTTCATGGTTAAGGTTTAACTAGATGTCCAGTTCAAGCAGAATTTGCGGCTGCCAGGAAGAGTCAGCTGGTTTGGGGCTGTTGCCCTGAATTAGCCCAGTCAGCAGACCTGGTCCGTTCGTACCATCTCCAGGTAACAAGGAGGCAAAGGCTTGGCGTTTGGAGCACGAAGGGTTTCCAGGGAGAGGAAACTGGGCCTTTCTAGAGAAAGACGGGTCCTTTCCTCCACATGAGCCTCCACAGCTCAGAAGGGCTTTGGGAGCAGTGGAGGTGGGGACTGGCTCTGCCACACTCCTTGTGGTTCCCCGAGATCTAGAGATTTCCTGCTTGTCCAAGAGTGATGGGGGCAGCCTGCAGTGTGTCCCCTGGGAGCCGTTAGCAGCAGTTCAGGTTGGATGGAGGAGATCCACGTGAAGACGCCGCGTTTTCCTCTATCCCTGCAAGAGGCGGCCAAGGGAGAGAAGAGCCTTCAAAGGTCCTTCCGCTCTCTTCCCACCCCCAAATACCAGTTACTGTATTTGTGTTTTCCAGGATGGGCTTGGATGTCCCCTCGGCTACCTCGGAAGAGTTGAATCGAGTGGCTGCCAATGCTGCCGCTACCTGGGCTCAACCAGAAGCGGCCCCACTGAATCCCACAGGAGCTGCTTCTGGACTGGAGCACCCTGGCCTGCGTGATTCTCAACCGTGGCTACTTGAAGATGGCTGGGTGTCAACTCAGCATGTTGGGGAATTCAGAGGGTTGAAGTCCACCCGTTGTCAAGTTCATGGCTGCTCATGGCAACTTGAAAGCTTTGCAAGTTGACACCCGTCTTCAGGGTGCCAAGGCTGAGAAATGCTGATCTAGAAGAAAAGACCCCTTTTGACTCTTTTCCTGAAAATGAGGAGGGGGAGGGAGTTAGGCCCACATACTGATGAAGTCCCCTGTGCCGATTGGCAGCAGCCGGTTGCAGCTCTTCTCCAGCTCCATGAGCACAGACCTCTCGAAGGCCAAGGCAGCCACCCGGAAGAAAAAGTCCTTGACATTTTCCCCTGAAGAAAGAAAAGAAATCCTTAAAACCTGGAAAGCAGATATATTGGCTGGCTGTGGTTGCTCTATTCAGAGAACAGATTAACGTGGCCGCTTGCTGGGAGAACAAAAGCATACGCACGTGGGTGTTGCGGTCCAAGACCTCCCTGGCACGCGAGGAAGCCTCCTTAGGGCACCAAAGCTGGGTGGGCGACACTCGGGGTCCAGCGACTCCTTCCAGACAGTGCGGGGGGCGGGGGGGGCAAGGGGGCCCGTTCCCTCCCTGATCTGCTGTGCTGCCTTCCTGGGGCTCAACTGACCTGTTTTGGCCGAGACGGACCAATACTCTGCCTGCATCTCATTGGCCAGACGGATGGCGTCCCGCTCTGTCCGCTCACTCTCGGCATTGGACTGAAACGGAAAGAGCCACAGACGGGGAATGAGGTGCTGCCCCCCAAACATAAGCGCCTGCCTTTCCACTGCCCTCTTCCCAGGCCATGAGGGGGCCGTGGGGAAGTTTCCTGCTGCAGAGTAGGGTGGGATAGTGAGCTCAAAAGGCCTCCAAAGTAGATCTAGAGGGGGAGAGTTGACTGCAGCCAAATTTCCACAGCCTGGCCTATGAGGGCTCTGCAGGCCAGCCCCCTCCCCTCCTGCCCTTTTGGGGGCTGAGTGGCTGCCTTTGCTCTCACCTTGGCCAAAGGCAGCTGGGCCAGGCTGTGGCAGGCAGCCTGAATGCCACAAGTGAGGGACATGGCATCAGGGGTCCCACGGCCAGCCCAGCAATCCCTACAAGCTGTGGATCCTTCATACAGCCAAGAGAAAAGGGAGGGGGGCCAGCAACACAAAGGAGTGTGGTGGGGTAAGGGCGACAGACAGGCTGGGGTCCTCTGTGTACTCCCTGCCCTTCTGGCCTTGTCTGCATGAAAGAGATGCCACAGGGGAAGCAGGGAAGCCCCCAAGCCTCACCTCCAGCACCCCCTTCCTTCCTTTCCAAGAAGAGCCCAAATAAGCTTTCTGAGAAAACCAATAATGGGGAGATGCAGCCACCTCCCTAGAGAAAGGAAGAAGGAAAGCCCAGGGCATAGGGAGGGGACAGGTTTTCTGGGGTGGAGGGCAGCAAAGGAGCCTCCCTCCCCTCAGTTGCTTCACAAGAGCACCCAGTGTGTGTTCTTGATCTTTCAAATAAATTGCCCCCACGCCAAAAGGATGGGTCTAGGGGATAACGCTACCAGGGTCTCTAACAGGTGTCTACAGATTATTGTCAGAAATAGCAAGACGGGACAGAATGGAAGGCGTGATGGAAGTTTCACCTATTTTTCACGTGTGTTTTGGCTGCCGTCTTGACGCCCTTGGTCTCTTCTGGCAGAGGAGCAGGGCCTGAGGGCTCCCAGCTCTTCACACAGCCAGCATCAGCACCCCACCCCACCCTGCCCCGGCTGTCAGGGCCTTCCATAGACAGACATGCTCCATTCACTGTGCTGCAGATGGATTCCCAACCAACCAACTTGGTTCTTGAGATAGATTTTTTCAGGCTCACCAGCAGATCCTTCTTGGTTCCCACCAGAAACACAAAGCTGGAGCCGGGGTGATTCTCCCGCAGGGCATCCTCCAGCCACCGTCTGCACAGGGAGAAGAGAACAGGTAAGCGAGTGAGGGATCATCTGACATGCTGAGAAGACACATCATCACATGTATCAGTCCTGGCTTGGCCTTCACCCTGTTCTCACCTTGCGGAGGCCTTCTGCCACCCCAGCCCCAAAGATGCCTCCCCCTGTCCTGCTGCAATGGGCAGGCTCCACCTGGTTATTCGGTCTGGAAGGACAGTGAACAAAGAGCATCTTGCAAGAGGGACCTTGGTCACCTCCCGTATGGATCACTGCGATGTGCGTTACCTGGGGCTACCTTTGAAAACCACTCAGAAACTTCACCTAATCCAGAACACAGCAGCGCAAACAGTAATGGGGGCCCCATGCTTTGCCCATGTAGCATCTCTGTGGCATCACCTGCACTGGCTTCCAGTCTCTTCCAGGGGTGGGTTCTACTTACCTTTACTACCGGTTCGCAATGGGATTGCGCGCATGTACAGATCGCCAATGATGATATCTGGGGTAGTGGGCGGAGCCTCCCACCGGTTTTACTACCGGTTCTTGCAAACCGGTCCGAACCGGGGCCAACCCACCACTGGTCTCTTCCCAGGTGCAATTCAAGATGCTGGTCATCGCTTCCAAAACCCAGGTTATCTGTCGAGCTGCCTTCCATTAGGACATCTACCCATTATGCCAGATCAAGTAGGGTGGGCACAGCCCTGGTCCCCTCACCAAAATATGGCCATTTTATGGGAGCTAGGAAGCCTGCCTTCTCCATGGTAGCCGCTGCCCCTTCCCCTGGCAGGCTTCTGCCCTCCTGGCTTTCCATAAAGCACTGAAGATTTCGTTTTCCCCCAAACAATAGGGTGGAGTGACTGCATGTTGGAAGCTTGACACGGTGCCTGGTTTTTATTTTCAATATTTATGGCTTTTAATACAATTTTATGTTGTTTTAATTCTTAACTGGGAACCACCCAGTCTGTTCTAAGGCGGGGGGAGCTAGAGCAATGTTTTAAATAAATGAATAGATCTCTGCCTTCTGCCTCTCAGCATTCAGCCTGTTTTTCTCTGCAAACCTAATCAGGTGGCGGCCAGCCATCTGCCCATGTTTTCACCGTTGCTCCTTTGAACTGGCAAACTGATCTAGTGATGCCCCGAGTGATCAGGGAAAGGGAAGGTAAGGCAGAGGGCAGAGGAAAGGAAGGCACACCATCTGTTCTCCCGCTCAGCAAACAAGACGGTCCCTGTGCCAGTCCCCTCCGATACGGGCCTCCTGCCCACCAAGCCTAGTTAAAGAGTCAACTGGTCCTCCCCCTTGGAAAGAGCTTGGGTAAAACCACGAGCCAAAGGACCCCAGAGCCTGCAGGAGCCAAGCCGGAGGCAACGCTAGTGAGCAGCAGTGCAGCCAAACCGAGAATGGCTGTACCCTCCTTTCACGCACAGTCTGCAGAGGCGGTTCAGAGTTAACTGGCATAAGGGCATCAGGACCAGCCAAGCTTTCACCCTCCCTTGGCCGCCTCCTCCTCCTCCTCTTCCTCCTGGGCCCTTTAGGAAGACCTGCCCAGCTTGATTCCACACAGCAGGGAGAAAACCATGCCTCCCTTGTTGGCAGGCGGGATGAAGTCATGTTCCACATAGTTTAATGCATCCATGCCTCTTCTCTGCATGCAAATTAATATTTAACTCGCATGGGGCTTTTCTGAGGCGAAGTCAGATAATGTGAAGTCAGTAAATGTGGAGGAGCCATGATTTCAAACTCCAATTGGTGACGAGCTTGACTCTGCTACAGAAATGCCACAGGCCAGCTTAAAGGCCTTTCCATTATGTGTGTGTGTGTGTGTGTGTGTGTGTGTGTGTGTGTGAGAGAGAGAGAGAGAGAGAGAGAGAGAGAGAGAGAGAGAGAAGTCAGAGCGGGTATACAGGATCAGATCCTTTAATCATCCTGGTAGGCTTAATGTTTCATGATGAGACACTAACAGGCCATTTCTCCACCCACCACGGACTCCTAGTATTCCCACCCCATATCATTGACGTCTCCCACCATGGTATTATTTTCGCCAAACAATGGTTGGAAAAATGGTTACAGATGGCAGAATTTGCGGCAGCAGGAATGATCTGAATTGTAATAGGTTTGCTCGACTTTGGCTTTGTGTAAAAGCAGGCAGGTCTTCTTCAGCCCATAAACGTGGTTCCATCATTCGTAGCTCAGTGGGATAGGCAAAGTCAGTCACAAGGGAAAACTGGAGTGACTTACTTGGTGTGATCCAAAGTCTGGATGTCAGCCAAGTCGAAAACTGTGATAATCACTGCCAAGAAAGTAAAATAAGATTGTGCAAGGTTTGAGCAGCACCTGAGCCACCGGCTGGCCACGCCAAAGATGGAGGGGAGGGCAAACAAGGAGGGGGTCTTTGCCCTCGGCTCACCTTCCGCTCCTCTGTAGTAGGCAGAGGCGATGCACTTGAACTTCTCCTGGCCGGCCGTGTCCCATCTGGGCAAGAGGGAAGGAGAAAGTCACCAGGGGCTCCAAGGGGACCTAAATTCTCCCACTGACAGAGCTAAAGTAGAGAGTAGGCAGAAAGCCCAAAGAACAACTTCCTCTCATTCTTCAAAATTAAAATACACACACAGAGAGAAACACAAAACACACACACGCTATATATATACTATATACCCTGGGCATGCATATATATACTATATATATATATGTATGTATGTATGTATGTATGTATGTATGTATGTACCGGTATATATACATACCAGTACATATTGAATAAAAATCAGTCTGGTTGTTATTCATCAGCATCTGTGTATCCCCCACTTGAATACAGGTAGTCCTCAACTTACGATCAATTGAATTTATGTTGCTAAGTGAGAAATTTGTTAAGTGAGTTTTGCTCCATTTTACAACTGTTCTTGCCACATTTATTAAATGAACACTGCAGTTGTTAAATTAGTTAACAAGGTTGTTAAGTGAATCTGGCTTGCCCATTGACTTTGCTTGTCAGAAGGTCGCAAAAGGGGATCCCATGACCCTGGGACACTGCAACTGTCATAAGTATGAGCCAGTTGTCAAGCATCTGAATGTAAATCATGTGACCATGGGGATGCTTCAAAAATCCCCCAAGTTTGCTTGCCATTCAGACGTTGCTCAATAGTCTTCCCAGGAAACTCCCTCACGTGCTACAACCATCTTGGTTTGGGTGCCCTGGCCAGTTTCTAATTTCTCCTGTAAAGGCTGAAATGAAGGTCCCTCCGAGACATCCCAGCCAGCCAACTTCCATTCTGGGTCACCGGTTGTGGTCAACCAGTAATGTCCTCATTAGCACATTCAGCTGAAGGCCCCAAGAGACCATGCTAATTGAACAGGCCCCAAGACGAGGACAAGCACATATCCTCCCTCTTAATTAACTTCTAAAAACACTTTCCATCGCTCTGCCTCGAGGGCTTAGATGGGGCCCAAGGAGAGAGGCAGTTTTTTAGACTCGGCTAAGAAAACCTACACGGGCACCAAACGCTTGAGCCTCCCTCCCCATCAAATGCATTGGAATTTCAGAACTAATGTTAGAGGGCTGGTTGGGGGTCTCTAGCAGGCAGAAGGAATAACCTTGAGGGACAGGAGGAAAAGCTGCAATAATCAGATAAAAGAAATCTGAATTGGGGCAAAAACTAATTTGGGAAAGCTTCTCAGATATGACTCACCCTACTTCTCGAGTGAGGAGGCAGGCACATTCAGGCTTGCAAGAATCTGTTACAGGTAGTCCTCGAATTACAACAGACCTTCCCCCCTGCAAGGTATTTACGATCCAATTCCAGAGTTTGAATAGCTCCCTCTTCAGTAATCATGTGACTACATTTCGGACTGCATTTACAGCTGCTTGAAGGGTCACGTGGCCACAATTTATGATGTTTTTACCAATAACTGGCATTCCAGCAAAAATGCCCCCTAGCGAACAATGGGTTTGTTTAACACCGCATCAAAAAAAAAAAAGTTGTAAAATCAGGTCCGTCATGTGGGTGACCCACCTTACAACCGTCACAACATATGACCCAAGCAGGCAGGACCAATTATGGTCATAAGTCAAGGACTACCCACACTGTAACTATGTAATAAAAGTAGTCTGAGCACTCCGGTGTTCTTGTCTGGTCTACCTCGGAGGGCTGACAGATTCTGGGGGTTGAAGCACAATGGCCGACATCCTGAGGACACACTTTGCTTGGCAAAAGTTTTCTGTGTGTCAGGGTAAATGCATGCGCAAAAAATGTGCACGCTCCCTCAAACAAAGGCATTCTGAAACACAAGACTGCCTTTTCCATCAGAAATGTTGCTTTAAGGTTATTCCAGTGAAACCTTCCACATACCTGGAAATGGGGAAGGGGAAACAGGGACAGGAGCTGCTTTCCAACTTACATCTGAAGATTGTAGGGCACCCCAGCGATCTCAAAACGCTCAATTTCAAAATCCACGCCAATGGTTGCCTTGTAATCCCGGTCAAAAACCTCCTTACAAAACCTGCAATTGAAAAATGGTTAGGGAAAAAACAGCATGCCCATTTAAATCTTGGTAGAGATTCTCAGTCATCCCATGGTTGTCCCAAAGGTGCTTTTCCAAGAGGCAAAGAGCTGAAGAAGCTTCTTGGATGAGAAGCGAAACGTCCTCAAAGAAAAACCAGGAAGTCCAGTTGCCTCTTGAAGAAGCCCCTTTGGGCTAAATCTGGGAAGTTCTTTCCCTTTCGGTGTGCATCTGGGAGAGTCCCCTTCAGCACACAGGCCAGGCGATCAGCATGGGAAGAACACAAAATAGCAGAGAAAAGGGACGATGTTAACTGCTCCCCGTGTCTGAGAAAGGGAACGAAATAAATAAATAAATATTTATTTATATTATTTATTTATTTATTTATAAATATTAAAATGCTTTTAAATAAAATTTGGTAGTCAGAAAAGATGCTCCACATTCCTTCTGAAATTTCAGTGACGCGAGCTTGAGAAAAGCCCAACAACTAAATTTCAAATAAGCACATTTGTTATTTCTATGCTGCCCACAACTAATATTTTCTGTGTTTTGGGGAGCAGGGATAAATGTCGTAACTCCCTTCCTAAGATTTTTATTTAGAAGCTGGGTACATATTCCTGGTTCTCTGGCATAACCCACACCTGCCGTTAAGACCTTTTTTTGAGAGAAGTCCAGTTTTCGAGCTCCAGGTCCATCCACAGCCTTCTTGGAGGGGAAGGAGGGAGGAAACCTCCTCTGCACCCTGCCCATGGCCTGGCTCTGAGGCCCGGCGGTCCCACCAGCCTCCAGTGCTCCCAAGCAACAGGGGCTTCACCCACCCTAGAAAGGGCTCAAAGCAGCCTGCGTGGCACTCAAAGATCCCTGCAGGAAATGGCCAGTGAATTTAGAATAACCGGGGGGGGGGGAGGGCACAGAAACTGCCATTAATTGCTGCTGGAAAATGGAATGGTTTCGACAAGGAAGCATTATAATACCTGTTGATAAGGCTTGTTTTCCCAACACAGAGGTCTCCCACCACGACCACCTTGGAGATCTTTAGGCTGGAACACACATTTTCACACTGAACATGTTGCTACAGTGCTAGGAAAAAACAGACTGTTTCATGGAGCAAACAAACTTTCAAGGAGAGGGATGCAAAATCTGGAGTTCTTCATGGCTTGAGACAACTCGGCACTATCCTCCCCTATCCTACTGTCCTCCTTCTTTTGAGCTTGAAGCAGTTCAGGATCCAATGGGGTTTTGCATCCCTCTGCTTCCTCCCACCCCCAATTCTTTTTCAATCTGAGTGTAAAGCAAACTGGGTGTGTGTGTGTGTGGGGGGTTGCTTCAGAAAGATAGAAACAGATAGGAGGACCTGATCAGTAGTGAAGACAACATCAGGACATCAAGGTGAACCCAGAAGGATGTCTATACAAAATAAACAGATCTTGCATTTATGTAGATGTCTCTCTGGCAAAATATGAACCAGAATTTGCTTTTACATATTAATTACATTTCCTGCCTTTCCTTCCTGCCATCTCCTCCTACTTCTCCCTTAACAAACTTGCACTTAACAAACTTACCAGGAAAGCTGGGTTGAGTGAGGACAGCCAGCCTCCCCCAGGAGTCTCCCATGAGTAAGGTGAAGGGGTGGGGCTGACATTTTAAGCAGTATATTGCTGGGACTCTCTAGCTTAGAGATGCAGTGACTAGAATATATTCTCCACAGAGGGAGACCGTTTTATAATAATTGATCTCCTAGAAGATACAGTCAGTGTTTGGATCCCACAATTACCTGCACAATCACTTCTTTCTCCTTGTTTCTCCTCCGCTTTTCCCAGAGGTCAATTTCTCATGTTCCCTGAGAAGCCGCACTCTCCCCCCAGCCCACCCCTCCATTACAAGCTCTGGCATGGAGCACCAGATCCACACAGAGGAGCTTGAAAACACCCCAGCCACAGGATCCTTCCAGGCCTGGCCATGATGAAGCACGGGGTGCCAGACAACCTCCCAGCCTTGGCACGCAGGGGACACCAAGTGCTCTTCCAGAGGAAGCCTTAAGCGGTTTGTCTCCTAGCTGAAGGCGGTCAGAATGAAGATGCCTTAAGAAACGGCCTCCAGATTGCAGCCCAGCTTTGGACACAATGCTGGGCCCGCGTTTTATCCAACAACCTGTGACTGGTGAACTCCTCTCCCATCCATGACAGGAAAAGCAACACGCATGGCTGTCCTTTCCTGCAGTGCTTCTCAATCCTGGCAACCTGGAGATGGGCAGCCTTCAATTGCTAGGATTCCCCTGTCAGCCATCCCCTTGCCCAGGTTCATCTTGTGTGCCAGGTGCGCCATTTCTTCAATCAGGAGGTCCTTCCGAAAGTCACTCAGGCCCTGGTCATCTCACAATTACTGCCACGTGCTCTACCAGGGGATGCCGGTGAAACCACCTGGAAGCTTCAGGGGATTCAAAATGCAGTGGGGCCAGCAGCAACAGAGGTCTCTTGGTGTGTCCACCACTGCTACATGAGCTGCGCTGACTGCCTGTTGGCTTCCAAGGGCAAGTCAAGATGCAATTATGGCCTATAAAGCCCAGTGCAATCAAAGGCCTGGATACCTGAGAGGCTGCTTGTCCCCAATTGCTTCTGCCTGCCCAGTACACTCCAGGTGCCTCCCATTAAAAACTGGCATCTCGTGGGACTAGGCTGGGTACCTTCTCTGTTAGGGCCCCATTCTCTGGAACAGGATCCCCTCCCCAAAGATCAGAATCTTCTCTCCTGGGGTTCCAGAAAGCTTTGGGTCCCAGGCCTGGGGTTGATGCTTGTTATTTGTTTAATGGCCTCTGTTTGGTTTTCTGGATTTTGTTATTTACTAGAGTGTGCAAGACGAGGCTGTTGGCTTGATTCAATATTTTTAGCTGTTTTTAATGTCTTTTCCAGTTTTGTATGCTGATCAGAGTCTCCTGGATCTGGGCGGACAATTTAAATAATTTTTTTTTTAAAAAAACCCAGAATGAGATGCTTTCCTAAAGTTACTCCTGTCCTTCAAATCCAAAGCAGTTTCTATTTTCGGTTTGCAGGAATTGGAAAACAGGATGAACCTGGGTGGTTTGCTTGGCTAAGTCTGCAATGAAAGAGGGTGTGGTGGCACTAAGGAGCTCTTGGGACTCAAGGCAATGCATAAACTGCTATGCCTGCCTTCCAAAGCAGAGCGCCTCCTCGGCTGATGATGTTGCATGCAACACTTTTATTAGCCCACACTCTTTTAAATCATGAAACAGGTTGGACTTGGCTTAGCAGAATGTGCAAAGACTTCAGAACCTCTGGCAAGCAATGGTTTAAACATCCTGGTAGCATGCAAGGTGTTGCACCCATCTGGTGTGTCCCATCTAGCGTGGCTTGCAAGAAACGATAAAGAGAGGAGCGGATGGACGCTATGAAGGGCGGATCAAAGGAGAATTTCCTGTTATTCCAGACACATCTTCCTCACAGAAATATGCGGGGGCCAAAGAGCCCCCCAAGGGAAGCACCGCTGAGAAGGCAAGGCAGACGGAAGAGCTGAAGGAGCAAAGGAACCGACCGACCCACCGGCTGCTGCCCATGGAATGCAGACTCACCCAACGGTCCCCGGGTTCCTCCGCTGACAGGCCGCCCTCACCTGGGCGTGGAAGTCCTCCCTGAGCTGCAGACAGGCCTCGGGGGTGTAGCACTGCAGGCAGAGGGGAGCAGCCTCACTAGGCGGCCCCGCCATTCCTCCCCCCACCTGGGCAAAGAGCCCCCCCCTCAGCCAGGGAGGAGAGGACGGGCGTGTCGTGCTTACCACGGGGAAGGCCGAGATCCTCCGGTCTCTGCTGACGGGCAGGAGGGGCGCCCTCATCGCCCGCCCCGCGGGGCTGCCAGGCACAAAAGAAAGAGGGTGAGGACAGGTGCAATCCTCCCCGGCGGGCCCACCGAGCTGAGAGACTGAGGCCGGGCGGGGCAGCCCCTCACCACACGAGGCGGAAGCCCCCGAGGCCGCCCTTCCAAGCGGGAGCCGCTCCAATCCCGGCTGACGCGCCGTCGCCAGCAGCGCCTCGAAGGGCCCGCGCCTCCCCTCGCCCGGAGCCCCTCAGCCGGCCTCCCTCCGCTACAGCCGCCCCGGGCCGCCCGGCCAGGCAGGCGCCTCCCTCCCTGCGGGGCTGCCCAGCTGGCAGCAGCCGCGCGCTCCAGCCTCCGGCGCCCAGCCAGCCCCGGGGAGCGGAACGGCCGCGGCGGGCGCTTTCCCCGCTCGGCCACCCGAAGCAGCCCGGCGGCGGCACCCCCGTCCCTCCCTGCGAGTCCCCGCACCCGGCAAGCGGCGAAGGGCAGCGCACAGCCCCGGCCTCCTCGCGCACGGGCTCCCGGGCAGGGCGGCGGCGCTGCTGCGGACGGAGTCCCGAGCGGCTCCCCGGCCCCCAGCTCGGCGGGCGGCTCCGGCGCTAGTGCCGCGTGGCCATGGCAACCGCCCCGAGGGCGGGACAGGCTCGGCCCCTCCCCGGCGCCCCCGCGCTGCCCTCCTTCTCGCTCCCCCCCCCCGAAACCGCCCCTTCCCCTCCGGTGCCAGGAGCGGCGCCGCCCCGCCCGCCCCAATTCGAAGCGTCTCCTCTGCAAAATCGCTGGTTTCAGTCCCAGACGCTCGAGCGGGGCAGTCCGAGGACTGGTGCTCCGAGTAGGGGGGTTGGAGAAGCCGACTCCCATGGGCCCTTCTGGATGGGAAGCGGCCTTGGAGGTCGGCCACTCCCTCCACTGGTCGCTTTGGACCAGAAGCCCCCCAGGCCCCCTTCCAACTCTGCCATTCTGCTTGGAGACCTCTGGAGAAGAGGAAGCGGAGGCTCCAAGAAGCGGCGATTCAGCCGGGAGGCAGGTCCTCCTGAGCCCTAAACCGAATCGGCTTCCCGCGCATGCCAGACTGTTGGCTCTTGGGCAGCTCCGTCACATCTCGCACAGCTTCTCCTCTGGGCTTCACTGCAACCATAGCTGTCCTCTAAGCACATCATCGGAGGCTTAGATGGCGGTGCCAAAAATGGACACAGAATTCGGGGGGAGGGGGGAGACAAAGGCCTTTTCTCATCCATAACCTGCCTGAGGACCTTTTTTTTTTTTTAATTTAATTTATATGCCACCCTTCTCCGGAGACTCAGGGCGGCTTACAATGCGTTAAGCAATAGCCTTCATCCTTTTGTATATTTTATACAAAGTCAGCTTATTGCCCCCACAAACTGGGTCCTCATTTAACCCACCTTAGAAAGGATGGAAGGCTGAGTCAACCTTGAGCCTGGTGAGATTTGAACTTGCAGTAATTGCAGGCAGCTGAATGTTAATAACAGGCTATTAGTCTGCTGTGCCACCAGGCTCTTGACCTTGTCAATTGTACAGTATACACCCAGCTGACTGGCCTGAACTCTCCTGGCTCCACTTTCTTCCCTTTTGCAAAGAGAGGAGCAACATTCACTCTTCCCCAGCCGTCTGGCACCTGCCCAGCCCTCCCCCCCCAAATCCTTCAGGTGCCCTGGCATTGTTCTCCTGGCCATGGAGGCCTGCATTCCTTAAATTAGCCAAGCCAACCCTCACTTACCCCTCCTGTCTTCTCTGAGTTGCATCTCTCAGGGCAGACTCCCTCCTAGCAGGAATCCCTGCAGGGGAGAAAGTGACCCAAACCTCCCCACCCTCCATAAAATCCCTGTAGCCCTTATCTAGTTATTCCCAAGAGAGTGCTCAGTCTAGCTGAGATTCTTGTAAACAGGCAAATAGCAATAAAGAAAATGCTCTGATCAGCTCACGGGGCTTCTCTGGTTCTTTGCACCTGAGAAAAGGCTCCAGGGTTAAGACTCTATTTCATTGCTGGTGCCCTCTTGCTTACCCCCTGCTCCTCAAAACCGCTCTTCTCCCTCTTTCCCCAGAGCCCCCAACAATTGCGGTTGTCGGGCCTTTCTTGCAGCTCCCGAGCTCCAGGATTTCTGCCACAACCCTTCTATTGCTTCTATGCCCATCGTTCCCGTCCTCCTTTTTCCCTTCAGGATGCCCAGCAATTCTATGTAATGCTCCGGACCAAATGGCCCCAATTCCACCTGCCGGGAAACAGGGAAAGAGCCGCATTCCTGCGTGTGTGTATCTGGCTGAGTCTCCCAAGGGAAACCTCTCCCTTCAGGAACGGAGCTCTGGTGCTGCTCGGCTCAGCACCGCCTTTCGACCGCACCGGGAGCCCAGAGGCCTCTGGCCGAGTCAGGAGCTCAGCCCAGCAGGGAGGGGGCCACCTCCCCCTGCCCTTCCGCAAACGCCCGAGGCCCGGCGCTGCCCGGCTTTGCCCAGGAGAGGAGCTGCTCGTGGAGCCACCCAAGGAGAAACGCGCCTCCTTTGCGACCTTCTCTTTCAGCAGCTCCCCCCCCCCCCCCCCCCGGAAGGAGCCGGGATGCAGGGGCGAGAGGCTTCCCAAGGGGGAGATCGGGAGGAGGAGCCGCCCTCGGCAGCCCCGGGAGCGGCAGGGTCGGGAAAGGCGGGGAGGCGTCGCAGAGCGGAGGCCGCGGGGGGAAAGAGCGCTCTGAGCGCGGCACAGCGACGAGGGAAGCCGAGCGCTTCCGAAGCTGCTCGGAGAGCGCTCGCAGACCCGCGGGAAGGCCCCGCCCCGCCCCGGAGCCGGCGCGTGCGCAGACTTTCCCGCCCGGCGTCCCCGTCGCCTAGCAACCCGGCGTGCGCGGCTCGGCGGGCTCCCCTCCGCCATGGCGCACCCGCGGATCTCGGCCCAGCTGCCCCCCGACATCGACCCCACCAAGGCGCCCGTGGCCTTCGGCCGCCGAGGCCTCCCCAAGCTCAACGAGGAACTGCAGCACCCCGAGCTGCTGACGCGGCAGCGGGCCCTGATGGCGCTCTGCGACCTGGTGCACGACCCGGAGAACGCTTACCGAGCCATCGGCCTGGGTGAGCGGCGGCGGCGGCGGCGGCGGCGGCGGGCGGGAGAGGGCCCGGGTGCCCAGCGGCCGTCCAGCCCCGCGTGTCTCGCTTCAGCCGCTTCAAGAGGCGTGGACTGCAACTCCCAGAGCTCCGCAGCCCCCAGTGCCGCCCCGGGAACCCTGGGAGTTGAAGTCCACCGCTCTTAAAGGGGCCCGCGGGGGAGTCGCCGGGCTGCGACTGAGCAGAACTCTGGAGTGTGACAGGAAACAGGCCTGCAGCTGGAATAGCATCCAGTCCAGCCTCGGACACACCGCCAGGAGGAGGCTGCTGGGTCAGCTCCAGGCGAAGGATGCCCGGCCCCTTTCAGACGGCGCCCACTGGACCCCCCCCCACTTTGTCCTTCCTAAAATGCAGGACCTCGCATCCTCCCCCCTTCTCTCCCCCGCTTCTCGCCCTCCCCCTCTGTCTCTCCCCCTCCTCTCTATCTGTCTCCCCTCCCCCTCTTCCCTCCATTCCCTCACTGTCCTCCACTCTCTCCCCCTCCTCCTCTTCCTCCCCATTCCCCTCCCTCCCCCTCCCCCTCTATCTCTCTCCTCCCCTCTCTCGCCATCTATCTCATCCACTCCCCTCTCCCCTCTATTTCTCTCCCCCTCTCCCTCTCCCCCCACTCTCTCCTCCACTCCCCCTCTTTCTCTCTCTCTCCCCTCTCTACCTCTATTGCTGTCCTCCACTCTCTCCCCCTCCTCCCTCTATCTCTCTTCTCCCGTCTCTCCCCCTCCCCCCTCTATTTCTCTGCCCCTCTTCCCCCCCTCTATCTCTCTCCCCCTTCCCTCTTTATCACTGTCTCTCTCCCCCTCTTTCCCCCCTCCTCTATCTCTCTCCCCCTCCCCCTCTCAACAGTCACAGCCTTGTACAGACCACCTGACTGCTAGACTAGAGTGCTACTCCAGAGCTTTTGGTGGGGAGTCTCTTCCAGGCCACCGTCATTCCTTCTCCGTAGCCTTTGCAGAGCTTGCAGACTTCTCTTCCTGGTCTCTGTTGAGGAATGCCATCCGGAGTGGCAGGCAGGAGGAGCTCCTTCCCAGAGGGCGAAGAGAGAGCAGCGCTTGGACTGTCCGGTGGGCAGGAAGAGAGCCAGGTCGGACTCTCCCTAGCAATTCATAGAGTATATCTACGTTATTGCAGATAATGCTTCAGTTTATGAAGATTCTGTTTGCAGGCAAACAACAATAAAGGAATTATTCCAAAGCAACTCCACGTGTCCTTCTTGGTTCTTAGGGCCAGACCATCTCTGAGGCTTGTGGCAACTGGACTTCCTCCAGAGGCCCAGACACCTAGTTCAGTTACCTCCTGTGATCACTAATGAGCAATTCTCCTTCTCCGTCTCCCCATCCCCTCCACTTGCTCTCTTCTGTCTTCTGGGAGGCCTTGTCCTTCAGCAGCAGTTCCCTGGTCCAGTTCTTCCCCCAGAAGCTGGACCAGGGCTATGGGATGGACAGTATTGCCTCTAGTCCCTTCAGTTTACTCTTCAAGAGTGCAGTCAGCCTGTGCCTCATGATCTTCAGGAAAGAAAACAACGAGGGCACCGTCCCTACGGTCACATGAGCATTTCCCTCCAACATATACAAACAATTAAGCCAATAAAAAATCCTTCGTGTTGACCTCCGTGCCTAAACTCTCTGCTGAGCTGCCTCCCTTATGTATCTCCTGAAGGTGCCTCAACTAGGTGAGCAGGAAGCAACACTGGTCTCACTCACTGGGCAACCAACAGTGATCAGTCAGCAGCCTCTGCCCCTCGTAGCCCTTCCACCCTCTTCTTTGTATAAAGTGATTGTAGGAAGGTCTAAGAGAACATCCAGTTGTTTTCCAGAAGAGCCACAGGGTGTCCACAGGGGGCAATGGAGGAGGCATGCAAGTGAGGAGTGTGTGATACTGCAAACCCCACAACTTATTTCCATAGGAAAAGGCTTTACCTTTCACAGGGATCACTCAATGGAATTTTTGTTAAAGTTTTCATCCTTGCGATTGGTGATGGCCTGTGAGAAGAGCTACCTTCAGTGTTTATATTCTTCTCTTTCTGCAAGCATGTAGAACAGCTCTGTTGATTTGAAATTAGTCTTATGTCTAAGTACATTTACCCATGTGATATGGCTGTATTGCTTTTATCCATCTCATCTATTCCACTACCGTCTCTTATTGGTATCATTATTATGATTATTATTACTTTGTTGTTTTGCATGTACATTAAGAACTTCTGCACCGGAGGCAAAAGGTGTGTCTAATTACATTTGTCCAAATAAAGCCTATTCTATTCTATTCTATTCTATTCTATTCTATTCTATTCTATTCTATTCTATTCTATTCTATTCTATTCTATTCTATTCTAATTCTATTCTATTCTATTCTATTCTATTCTATGGTTTGTTTTTGCCGCAGCTACAGTTAAATGTGTGTGGTCATTGCTTGTTTTTTATGTTTTAATCTTTTGTAAAATATTGTTAGCTGTCCAGAGATATGAATTTGAGATGGGCAGCCTCATAAATCAAACCAATAATTCAAATAAATAAATAAATCAAATAAATAAATAAATAAATCTTATTGGTCTAGACCAGGGGTGGGCAAATGTGGCCCTTTTACAACCTGTGGACTTCAACTCCCAGAATTCCTGACAGCTTGGCTGTCTCTGAATTCTGGGAGTTGAAGTCCACAGGTTGTAAAAGGGCCACATTTGCCCACCCCTGGTCTAGACAGATGGATTTGTGGTTGATAGCTCTTATATCTCCATACAAAGCCTCCGAATTGAATTTGGAGCAGGTATTCTAGAAATTCAAATTTCAACTTCTCCCCCCCCAGCTAATTATACAGGGTGAATCATTGTAGAGACGGGAGAAACTAAAATATATTATTGTTCCTATATTTTCTAAGCTCACATTTTATCCTCTTGTGTAGAAACGTATTTTAAAAAATCAGAAAACATGTACCTGTAACAGCAGAAGAGAAAAATATTTAAACTTAAAACTGAATTTAAAAGTTTTAAGTTAAATTGTAAATAATCATTAATTATTATGAATTCCCACATAAAGTGAAGCTGAAAAAAGCTAATTTTGTAAAACAATTTGATATGAAAAGTCATACAGAATTTGGCTTTGCTCAGTTTATTTGCTATACTGGAAATAAAAGCAAGCCATATAAACCAATTGTCATGTTATAATTTCTGTCAGTGGTTTATCTGGCCTTGGAAAAGTTCTTTTGTCTTTAACGTGAAAAGGATGTAAGGAGAACTTGTTGGGGCGGGAGAGGAATGTGGCAGCGTGGTTGAAGTTTTGTCCCTTTTTCATATCTATTGTAATTTCATTTGATTTTTCTTGTTTTAGCAATTGGCAGTTAGAATGCAGCTGGACTTTATACACCTGCGTTTTGCTAGCTCTCTGGGCGTTCAGTCTCCCTTCCTTGGGACTTGATTCCCTTTTCAACTTCTCATGTCCTTAAAATCCAGGAATGATGTCCTGGCAGTATTCCTGATCCCCACCAGATGGTCCTTGGCCTGTGACCACCATTGGGAACCGAATTTCTACTGCTAAAGAAGCTGGTGGTTAAGTGAGCCATGTCTGATTTTGTGACCTTTTGTTAAGCAAATCCCTGCAGTTGTAAACTGAATCACACGGTCGTTAAGCAAATCTGACTTTGCTTGTCAGAAGCTGGTTGGGAAGGCTATAAATGGCGATCACATGACCCTGGGACGCTGCAACCATAGCAAATGCATGCCAAGCACCCAGGTTTTGATCACATAACTGTGGGGATGCTGCGACAGTCATATGTGTGAGGACCGGTCATAAGTCACTTTTTTCACTGCCATTGTTAACTCTGAACGTGTGCTAAACAAATGGTTGTAACTCAAGGATTACCTGTATATGCCTGCTCATAAGGTCTACTTTATCTCTCAGGTGCTCTATTTTGTAATCCTTTCCTTTAAGAAATCCTCTCGTACTTTTATAATGTTTAGTATTTGTTTTTAATTCTGCCTTTCTATTGCCTCTTTCTATTCTTCATTTTCTTATTTTTACTTTAGTTGAAAGTCATGTATAAATGGAATAAATAAATAAATGTAAGTTTCCCTTTTAGGTTTTCTAGATAACTTGAAAAAGCTGCTTCTCGATGAAGATCAAACTGTGCGACAAAAAACTACTGAGGTCCTGTACATAATGGCAACACACAGCATTGGCAGGTAGGTATTTTGTAAAAACGCCATTTGAAGAGAAGGGGGGGGGGGAATGAAGTTATTGTTCATTACGTTTTCCAGATTCTGGAAAGATGAATCTATGGTGCTCCAAATTTTAGGACGAATTTTCTAGAACATGGAGTCATCCCAGCACTGGCACAGCTTTTGGATGATCCTGTTGATATCTGTCGGTGGAACATGCATTATGCGCTAAAACTTCTATCAGAAACACCTACAGGTCAGGTTAATTATTATATAAAAACGTAACAATCTTTGATCTCTTGAAAGCTTTGGGTCTTTCAAGTTGTATTTTATATGTGTGCAAATGTGTGTGATGGCCCCAAATATTTACACTGATGCCATATCTGCACTGCTGCACAGAAACTGTCAGAAGAATAATTTGGGGTTCCAACTCGAGCCAGGATTGCGCAAGAATAAATAAAATGAAATTGAGACAGCTGGGAGGGAAGGAGAATTATTTATTCCCAAAAGCAAAAAGGTTCGCCTATGGGGGCAGCTGCAGAGAAAATGGGGTGCAGAAGGGTTGCTTCATAGGGCAGATTTTCCTGGGTGTGGAAGGGTGACGCTTGAGGGGCATGGGTGTGTGTGTGTGTGTGTGTGTGTGTGTGTAGGTACATGTCAAATGTGATGCTTATTCTTGGGAACGAGCTGTTCAACTGTTAATTAACTACAGACCTTCTCTGATATATGGATTAGGTCTGGGTAACTTATTTGGGGGTTTAAAGAAGTTTGAGTAAAAGGTTTTCTTCAGTTTGCTATTTTTACTTGTTTAGCTTAGCTTCAGCTTGATTGTCAATTATCTAGCAGAAACACTGATTCTCAGTTCATTGTGGACTCTGTTAACGTTTAAGGGAAGATGGAGACAATATAAGGAATAAAATATACTTTGATGTGAAACTTCCCACAAAACCTTGCCGAATCTGCCTCCTCTGAAGCTTGTAGCCTGACTTCCCTGCTTGAGATGTTTGGAGCTGATTAAATGCCGGTTGTGCTCCAGTGCTTACAAGGCTGGATGGGCAACGATGCAGGCAAGGAAGGGAGGCTGCAGACTGGAAAGCATGTTGG